CGGGAATCTGTAACGACGTGCCCTAAACCTGGGGCCGAATGAGCCGTAAGGCTGAGGGCATGCGAGGGAAACTTGGGTTCTTCCCCTGCCTTTCCCCGGGAGCAGCGCTCAGCTGTGCGTGTTCTCCACCAGACCGTTTAAAACCGCACGTTTGCCACGCTGCACGCCACCAGCGTCCTTAGCAAATAACTCTACAGAGACCTTATTTAGGTAGTCTGGAGATAATTTAGGAGCCACAGTTCCCCAAGTTAGACTTTTAAATCTGTGTGCGGGCATCCGTGTGTAAGTGGCCTGGTTTTCGAGGTGCACCTGCAGCTGACAGTGACTCGCGATAGCTCGGGGGGCACCTGGATGCGACGTGTGGCTTTAAAAGCCTAACTTTGGACTTGGAGTATGTGTTTCATGTACGTGCTCTGTCAGAATTACATGCCCAGGCTCAGCCTGCTCCTGTTCGTTCTTTCCTGAGATGCGCAGTATGCAAACGTAACTTACTGCTGCTGTTTCTCCTCAAAAGTCAGTCTGAAATACCTTTTTCCTTTTTTTTTTTTCCTTTTCTTTTTTTCCATCCTAGGTGGACTTTTTATGAGGAACACTGTTCAGGAGCACAGTGCATTTCGGTTTGCTGTGCAGTTATACAACACAAACCAAAATACCACAGAAAAACCCTTCCATTTGAACTATCATGTAGATCACTTGGACTCTTCCAACAGTTTTTCAGTGACAAATGCTTGTAAGTAAATACATGCTTTTTTAAAAAATATTTGTTTGTTACCTATCCTTACATTCAATTTCTCCCTGGTAGCCTAGAGTTCTTGTCTATACAACATAGTGCAATAAATGTGTGTACTGACATGAGGTTTTGTAGATTTGCAGCATTATATGGTTGATTAATACCTTCGGAAAAGTTCTCTCACTGCTTCTTTTCACCCCTTTAGTGGTTTTTTATTCCAGCAAAAAACCCATGTTACTTATATAGCAGCGCTGTGTAGCTGTGATCAGTGAATTGCCGTTGAAGTAATGTCCCTTTTCTGTTGAGGATACAACCTAGCCGTGTGAAACAGCGTGATTTGCAAATAATACCATGTAGGAATAAAACAGAAACAGCTGTTTACAAGTGACCTTGAGGGAACAAAGCTAGAGGGGCTTACTTGCCTCCTCTGCTCTGAAATACTGGGTTGTTTTCTTACAGTGGAAGTCCTGTTAAAGGCTGAGGAGACTGTAAACTGACAAATACCATTAGAGATGAGGGTAGAGAAAATGGAATCAGAATGCTTAGCATTATGAGAAATAGCTCTGCACAAGCAGTGCATGCGTATAATTTGAGCTTTTATTAACAGAAGAAGCAAAATAGAACTTTGAGTAGTGTTAATGTGGTGTTAAAATGCGAAATCTCTTTCTGAAAGACTGGTGCGTGTTCTGCATTTAAAAAAAAGCATTCCTTTACCAATAGTAGTTCCTGAATATTTGTTTTACTGATGTGTCCAAATTCAGTTTTATACAGTTTTTATTGTAAACTTTTGAAAATGAATGCAGTCTTCTTGCAAGGTACTTGCATGCACTTCGCAGTATAGAGAAATACGTCTGTACGTGATCTGAAGGAGCTCTGAGTGCAATGCACTAACTTTGTGTTATGAACAGGATTCCTGTTCCTGTACTCACAGTATAAAATGTTCAAAGAGGAAGCATTGTGCTAAAATAATGAAGTGTTGGAGTACAGAAAACTAGTATCTCTTGATTTAAAATGATTTCATGTTTTGAATATCTGATGTCTTTAATTTTTTTGTTTGTTGGGGATAGGATAGTTCTTATAATCCTGTCCCACACTGTGTATATAATCAGAAGGTTGGACAAGTAGATACTTTGTTCTTCTAGGACTTTGGGTATTTTTTGAGAAAGTTGATGGTTAGAAAACATACAATAAGGAAATATTTGGATAAATTTTGGATTGATATTCCAACATATCCCCCATGTGACTGCTTCTTGCTAGTGCAGCGTTACGCTTTTTAAAGGGCTTTGAAGTAGGACCTTTAAAACTTTTGCAAGGGGGTTAATTATATAATATCTAATAAAAATATTTAGTAAAGTGGAAAAAAATGGTAAATAAAAGCGTGTCTGTACTTTGCATCTTATTTTACTAATCCTATCCAGCCTCAACAGTTCTTACAACAAACATCAGACTATTAATCCTTAATCAGTATAATCCCTTCAAGAGGCTGTATCTCAAACACAGTTTCCTAAATATCAATTATATGGATTTAAACTAAATACATTAAACTGCTTGGGTGATTAATTATTAATTGTTTTTTAAAAGTTCTACCAGCACTTCTGTACCAATCCCACCAAGACAAGTGAACCACGCGCTCGTTCAGAGGCAGTCAATGTATTATTTAGTCAGCGTGCTTCTCATCTTCTGACATCTAATGATTTTTGTCATTGCTTAGTGAAAGCTGTGGCGATTTTAGAAAGATGAGATGGTTTTCTGTAGTATAGGGCTGCATGTTCCAACACACATATTACCCGGGTAGTAAAATTGGGAGAACTTAAATCTCTGGAGAAACTGTAGACCAGAGCACACCAGCCTACAGTAACCTATTTAAAAATAGAAGATGTGAAAAAAGAAACAAGAAGGAAAATGAAAAGGTGACCTTGTCCATAGCTGTGTCAACCATCTGGTAATACTGTTGGTAGGAGAAGAATAGGGTGAGTCCAAGTCACCAGTCATATAGGTCTCAATAGCTCAAAATAAAAAAAAAATAGAAGACTTGCTCTTTTTGAATCTGCAAGCAATTGTCTTTGGAAGTCAGAATGCTCATACGTATCGATGTGTTAGGATGAACTAATAGCTCCCTGCTACCAGGCTAACATGTAAAACATTCTGGCCTAAGTACCCTTAATCACATCCTCGCTTCCCAGTGGAGTGGCAGATAATTTCAGGGTGCTGCCGCCGTATCCATGAAGGAATTCGTTCCACAACATTTTCACTTCTCTTGGAGAGACGCATAAATTGTCTCCAGTGCTGTCACACAGCCGTTTGATCAATATTTGCAATTGGCAGGGATCCACAGGAGAGAAACCTGCAGTGACTCCGACTGCCTTTGCTGGAGAGGGAGACTGGGACTGACTTTGTGGTGGGATAGGTGAAGGAACTGAAGGGAAATCAGAGAAAGTAGCATGTGTAGCTTGAGCCTAGTACCTGTACTGCCAGTATCTGTTAAAAAACTACTTTTCATTCTCCTTTGCTTTGATTTATATGATAGTGGCTGTAGTAAGCGTTCATGTGTGCAGGAGTTGAGGGGGGCTCTGCTCAGGAAAGACTTATGTTCTTACTGTACAGCTGCACATCCTGCTTGGTGCAATCTGGTGCATTCCAGAGGCAGGAGAGAAAAAATCTCTTCTGAAGTATCCTCATGAGCCAGAGATAAAAAGCCCACCTCTGGTAGGGCTGATTTGGCAATATCCCAACACGGGAGCAAACTTGTTTAGAAGCAAAAGAAAATTCCTGCCCTAAGCCCCTCCCTCTCATTCCTTCTTCAGTTAAATGATGCATAATCTGATTCATGTACATGTATTCCTTGCTTCACTGCTGGCACCGAGCCCCTCTCTGTATATTTAATTTACATGCATGCATAGAGTATTCATTCACTCCGTATTTATCTGCCCACCTATTTATTTAGCTGTATGATATCTTAGCAGAGAGCAAATGCAAACACAGATGAAAATTCCAGTGTATTTAAAGGTGAACTGAAGTTTATCAATTGGCTCTTGGAGGGGGGAATTTATTACAGCTTTTAAAATATGCAGCTTTTTGCCATCAGAAAAAAAAACCAGGAAGGAAGGGAGTTAACTTGACTTGCGAATGAATAAAATCAAGTAAAACATGGATGTTATATTTTCTTCAAAAATGCTCATGTAGGGAGTGAGCTGGCTTTTTCAGAATGATGTGAATATAACAGCTCCAATGCATAAATTCATCACTGAAATGTCTTTCATGCTTTTCTTATAAACTCTGATGAAGGATGTTAGTATTAATGTTGAATTATGTGTACAGTTCTCTAGATCTATTCCCTAGAAATAACCTGCGTATGTCTTTCTGCTCTGCACTTGTAGTGCACTATACTAACACTGCTCTAGCCTCTGCAGTGTCAGCTCATTAGCACACAGATCTCATATTCCCTCTCTGCACTGTCATTGCAAAAAATTGCTGTTGTACACCTTTACAGCCAACAAATGTGCACTTGTGTTACGTACAATTTGCAAGAAATATTTAGAAAAGTAAACTCAACCTTATATGTAGTCCCCATGGAATTTCTCAAAAGAAAGTATTAGTTTTCATTAAAATCTGTTGATCATGTAATGATAGTGGTGGGATGTGTACGGGTGAAAAGGGGCTGTGATTGCAGAATCTAATTAATCTACAGGCAGATTCTCTCTTTCAGCTAAATCTAACCTATCAGCTGCAAATTCTTGTCCCGTTAATTTTTCTGAGTCATTTTTCTTATCTCTTCTGAACTGAGAAGGCTTTTTATGTTTTACCAAATGTTGATGTGTAGTGTTTTTTTCCACAGGCACTCGTTCTTTAAGAGACCAAAAAAAAAAGGAAGATACAATGACCTGCTTACCTTAACTTGCTAAAATCCTTTAAGTGATTGTATGGACACTTTCTTGAAGGGGTCTGATTTCAGACTTACTTAGAAATTTTTTCTTTAGCATCCTTGAAGTCCTTGTGTTTAATCTTTAATTCAACTTGGTAGATTTTAATGGGAAAAGTGCCTGTTTGTTGTTGTGAGAATGTTGCAGAAGATGATACCACAGGGCTAGTAGCAGACAGTTTTTCCAGTTTAACTGTATTGCTCCCTTTCCCAAAGCACAGGTGCATGCATATATATATATATGCACTCACATGCCTACCCACTTGCACACATGCGCGTGTGCACACACACACACGCACACACTTTTTCCGTAGTGCTGCTCAGCATTTCTTTTTGCCAGTGGGCAGCTAATTTGCTTCTCTTGCATCTGTGTACTCTTTGGCCAGCTGGCAAAGGACACTGATGCTGAAAGTGGTCAGCTCCCTTCTGCCAAAAGCATAGGCATGTCTCACTGAAAGTCCTGCCAAGTTTGGGCTGTGTGCTGGTGGTTTTGGGTGAGTAGAGACCACAGGGTAGATGCCTCACTCTCCTGATAAGGAATGTGCTGTGGTTTTTCCCCAGTGTTCTGTGGTAAAACACCTGGAAATGTGCTTTCTACATGACTCAACTCATTACAGATCCCTGAAAATGCTGTGGAACGTTCTCAAATACTGTACGTTATTGCTGTGTGACAATCAGCTGGCTTTAGTTTAGGGGCCAAAGCTTTTGCAATATTGGGCTAGGTAGAAAGGTGAAGGGTGTGTTCCAGCTGAAGTTTGTTTCCACTTCATGGCAGAGCAGATGATTTGTCATTAAGCTGAATGTGATCTCAGTGTTAGCAGAAGGAACCATACTACTTTCAAGTATGTTTTCTATTTCTTAAGTTAATTTTAAAATAAGCTGACTCTCCTTTCTCTCCTCCTCTGTTGCATACATACCATTTACATGCTGTTTAGATGTTAGGGTTCCATTTAACTCACACTGTAGAGGTGGAAAAAAAAAATCTTATATGAATGGATAGTCTCTTGAGAAACTCTGAATTCACCAAATGAATGAAGAGTAAAGCACAATGAAGAGCGCCATTTACTTGTTCAGTTTCAGA